AGGTATCAAGTGTAAAAAGCTAGTAACTACTTCCTCAACCTTCTGTTTTGCTGACTAAAGTTTAAATGAAGCACATCAAAATTGGGACCTTAATGTATGAATGGGAAGGTCTTTCCCTTGTGTATATGTATGATAACAGAACATATGTAACAGGCATGTTCTGTACACCTTACCAGACCAAAGAAATCCCTGTTTAAGGGTGTATTATTTTCTTAAATCTAATTTCTAATGCTAAAACCAGCATAAAAATTAATAAACTATTTTTTATACTGTCTCTGTGCTCCTAGACTCTTGTGTATAAAGATTCCAGGTAAGTCTAGAATGTGCTGTTGTGCTCAGCATGAGATGGAGTTTTTTTTAATAAGAGGTTTTATCTTTTCATTAGACCAATTGATGGCTATTTGAAAAACTTAGACACATTTGCCTGTACAGCCTCATTTTAGGTTTCCAGTCTGTTGGTGTGTTTGATGTCCTTGCCTTGAATGGAAAGTTTTGGTGGGTCTTAAGTAAATGCTGTGGCTCTTACAGGTGGCCTGAAAAGCCCTGTTTGGGCTAAGGTCTTGCTACCTAGCTCTTGGGGAGCCTGGTTGTTGCATTAGCCCTTGGCAGGTGCAGGGAAGCTCTATTCTGCTGTCTGTCCTTCTGCTCTTCACTGCCTTTACCAGCATTCACTTGTGGCCAAGAGTGTAGACTTTGTGTTCAAAACGTTCAAAACAACAACAGGAAAAAAGCACTTTGGTTGAGTACTGATGCTATTATGCTAAACCTACCTAATGATGAATTCCTCTGATTGATTGCACCTAAATAGATGTTTTCCAAGTCTTTACTTGCTTTTTTAAAAGAGAATTTTATTAAAGTTCTATGAGACTAAGAGACCATTTGTTTATTTCTTTTCTTGGTTATAGTTAAGAATTATGATGTATTTAATCTTGGATTCTGTCCTGTGTTCACTGAAAAGTTTTGCTTAATATGCATGGGAAAAGATGTTTCCTTTTATGAGTCAAGGCTATTGCTTAATAAATTGTCTTATTGTTTTAAGTGGTCATCCTATTCTCAAAGAATGTTTCCAAGATACTGGAACAAATACAGAAATGAGATTATTGTTCCATAGAAATGAAAGAATACACGAGCATTTGTCTGCTTAATCAGCCCTATCATTGAAATAGCATCGCTTTGTTCTTGCTTCTTGGCTACAGTGCTAAAGTAGAGCAGGACATGCAGGATTTTCTCAGCTGACCTATAAAGCTGTCAGAGTCCCAGATTTTAAAACTGGCACATAGACAGCCATACAAATATTTTAATAATCTGTGCACACAGCCATTTATACAGGAAGTTTGTTAACCAATCACAAGTGTCCATCCATAAAATGCTGCGGTTTATTTCTTTTCATAAAATTATATGGTACTTGAGAAGTATTGTCATAGTGAAGGATATTTCAGTGGAGAACAGGTTTGAATGAAACCTGAGGAAGTTGTGTGGTTAAGAGTCACTCCTACCCCTCTTTCCAGAGCAAGAGAACAAAATTGGCTTGCACTGGGCTCCAGTGTAAACTTGAGGAAAGTGAGGACTTTGTAAGTCTTGGGGGTGGAGGAGAACATCAGCAAAACAACACAGCCCAACAGACAGTAAAAACCTGCTACCATGGATCAGTCCTGAAGCCTATTGACAATGGAAGAGACTGTAGGAAACAGAACCATCTTTACAGGAATGGTTGTGTTACTCTGGTAAACTTATTAGCATCCCCCCCAAGACATCAGGATGGGAAAACATTTCCTCCCAAGATGAGAAAACAGTACCCAGTGCAATTCTGTAGGACTTTTGTGTCCCAGTTTTCATTGGGTCTGGGACATTACAAATAGACACCTTCAGTGGTTTTAGCTTTGGCTCAGGAGCAGTGAGGCCACTCACCATCTTGATCATTAGTAGAGGGGAAAGGAGAGAATTAATTGTTGGATAATTTTTGCCACTTATATTGGTGCTTGCTTTTTTAAGAAAGTTTTATTTATAATTAATTTTTTAATATAACATTATAAGAAGCTCCTTTAGTGCTAGAGACAGATGATGTGCATTAGAATAATAATACACCGTACTTGAAAAATATTACTTGTGTACTTTAAGGTTTGCTCTGTCAGTGTCCACTACTGAGGAGTAGTGGATGCTACTTGGAATATATTTGAAGTAGATGTAATAATCAATAATTTTTAAGAGTCATAAATGGAAAACCTTAGATGGCACTAGGCAAGGACTTTTTTCCCGTAGTCAGACCTAAAAGTTGTATTTGGTTGACTACTGTGAACAATGTAGGATATAAATACCTATTAAGATTGCTTGTATCTATGAAGTGTTTAAACTTAGTAGAATTATTGAAGCATTCCTGCTAGGAAAAGTGTCACATGTGGTACATTATTGTTGCAAATTATGAGTGTTTTTTAGAAGAAACAAACAAAAGGACTAGCTAATCTTGGCAGAAAATCATTAACTGTGAATGGTATCAATATATGCCAAGGATGTGTTCCAGATCAGGTTACATAAAAGGTTCATGAAGAGAAGACCCTGACCTGCTTGAGCTGCATGGTTGTAAGGCCTTTTCCATATATTTAATGTTTTCTTGCATAAATTAAAGCTTCAGGTTTTCTGTACCAAGTCTTTTGGATTACTTTATATTAATTCTTTAGAGATTAAGAATATCTGGCGGGAAACATAAAGGGTTGAACCCCACCATATGAACTGCTAGAGAATGTAACAATTGGTCAAAGTTAAAGTAGTCTCATGTTTGACTTGCCCTGTAATGCCATCCCACAGAAAATTATAACACCATCTTAGGAGTTTCCAGTGTTTATACAGATGTAACATCCAGTTGGTACAATGTTTGTCTTTCTGAATTCTCAGAGGGTTTAAAATGCACTCTCTATACACTCTGTAGTGGCTCTTCTCTCATACGGTGCGCGTGATGAAGGAAAAACTGTTTTGAAGTTTGCTGTGTCACATCAGGGAGATTTCCTAGTTCTGTTTTGCTGTCAGGGAGAATACTAGATTACTAGATTTTACCTTTTTTTTTCATTAAAAGGAAGAGGTCAGTCTGGATAGAGCAGTTAATAATGTCATAATGAGCAGTGGCCCAGCCTCTCCCTCACAATGTGATGGACAGTGAGCACTATAGAAAGCCATGAAAACTAAGAGAGCTGCAATTCTTTTGGGCTCTAGAGAAGCCATCTCCAAAAGGATTTGCTATCATATGAAAATGAGTGAAGAGATACTGTTAAATGAAGATTTCATTCTTCAATTAATAAGTAATTTCCATTTTGGAGTAGATAATTTATGCCTACTACCTAGGCAGCAATTGTGATTAATATGCTGCATTAGTTGCCTGAGTAGATAAAATCTCAACAGCTGAAGATCTTGTTTTCATGCAGATAAGGCTAATAGGGAAATCAAAGGAAGATAAAACCTCGAGAATGTGATGTAATGCACAGAGCAAGTTACACCCTGTCAAAACTATAAAGCCTGAATGAATTGTTATCAGTTTTTCCTGTAAGGGAGCTTGGAAGAAAGGTTTATATATTGGGACACCTCAAGCTCCACACCTGTAACAGCATGGAAATGGAGCTGACCAATTTTGGCAAATAGAGTGCGATGGCTCATTTCTTTATTTCCTACATAAGGAGAGCAGTGCTTTTTCTTAAGGAGACCCTGTGTCTCATAGGCAGCGTGGGCTAGACATCACCATTGACAGCAAGTGGGGTTTGGAGTCTCAGATTATTGCAACAACCAAGAGGCTTTTCTTGGTGTTTTCTTTAGTCTGAATTCAGTAAACTAAACTCTGTTTAAAGAATTTTGTATCTCTTAGACTTATAAATTAAAATTAAATTGCTTTTTGCATTTGTTCTATTAAATTATAAAAAATAAAAAAGGGTCATCTAATTTCACTTACTACACAAGTCTCCACACTCTTGTATTCAGCAGACTATGCTTGTTATTAATCTGTTCCCAACACGTTCTCCAAAGTTGTATCCCCCAGTATCCCAGACACGTATTTATCAGTGCAGAAAATCCTTAAATCCTTTTTTTTTCTTTTTTTTTTTGTTTGCTTGTTTGTTTTGCTTTGTTTTTTTGACAAAAAACCTTCTTCTCACTGTCAAATTCACACTTTCATTTTAAGATGCATAGTAAATCCATATTTGGGTCATACAGAACACTAGGATGAATGGTAATGAGCAGTAACTGGGATGCATGCATGTAATCTGAAAAACTATTCTCTGGTAAATTAATGTTTTGGTCCACGATAGGTTTAATCTAAAAAAGTATATTAATGAGAGTTTTATTAAATAGAAGTTTTGGGTTTTTTTCTTTCAGTATATAGAATCATTATGGTAGAAAAGATCTCAAAGATCATCAAGTCCAACTGTCAGATATCATGCTGTTGTTTTCTTTATGTACATGAGATGTAGATGATACAGTTAAAGTATCGTTGCTGTGGGAGTCAGTTGTCGAGTAGGATTTTAATTATTTCAAAGTTTTGTACTCACTCTTCTACACTTGATTAAAATTAGGATCTTTTTCCCCTCATTTTAACTAGCTTGCACCTTTTGGTTAAACATATGAGCCATTAGTCTTTTCCTTAGTATTTATTTGGTTCTCAATTATCTGTTTGGAATTGTTCTGAAATATGTGGTAGCAGTATTATTGCAATGTATCTTTGATCAGCTGAATGCCCTTTAAGCTATGTTGTAAGCAAATATTGTGTAGGTTTCTGACATAACCGTGAATATTTTAAGTGCTGGGCTGCCAGGGTGCAAATTGGATTTTGAGAGTTTAATTTTGGTTTATAGAAAGCATATCTCCAGATTTTACCCTTTTTAATGTGTTATGTTAATGCATTGTTTTTAAATGTGAAGTATTTTGTCTTAATGTGGTTATACAGGTTGAGAAATCGTGCAGAAACAAAAAACAGAACAATTGAGTACAGCACATTTTCACTAGTTATCCTCCTTCTTTTGTAGATATTTGGGCTATTGGCTGCATATTTGCTGAACTATTGACTTCAGAACCTATATTTCACTGTCGCCAGGAGGATATCAAAACAAGTAATCCTTTTCATCACGATCAGCTAGACCGCATTTTCAGTGTAATGGGATTCCCTGCAGGTAATTTATTTTCATTAAAGCAGCAGGCATAATGCTAGTGAGTTGTTTGTTGTTTTTTTTCCTAAAGGAAATTACTAGTTGTTTGTATAGGTATGAAGAAACTGTCAGTTTGATGGATTTGGAAATGCTGGCAATTAAAGAACAATAGCACTGGCCAACAAACAGAAAGACAAACAACTCCTGTAGTTATTTCTTCCTGAGTATTACTTAACCAACACATTCAGAATTGTAAATGATTTCTCTTTTTTCCACACTACCGAAGATAAAGACTGGGAAGACATAAGGAAGATGCCAGAATATCCAACTCTTCAGAAGGATTTTAGAAGAACAACGTAAGTGATGATCATGTAACAACAGTTCATTGAATGTGGGGGAGGCAGAGATCAGCTCCTATGCTCTGACTTCTTGGGGATTTTGAAGTATTTGGGTTCTAACACTGTGGCAGCTGTCCTGTTTGAATTAGCTGGTTTACATGAATGGTGTTCTCTCCCTCAGCTGCTTGTTAAAAACATGAACTGAGTGGCCTCCTCATTTCTCTAGAAGGGGTTGCCATAAGTGTGATTTAATCTATGGCAGGCACAGACAAATGAGCTTCCTTAACCCATTTCTATTACATATTAAAGATAATGTTGTTCATTTTGCGTGAAGAATAATAGGGAAGCACTGGTATTTTTGACAAGTGATATGTGGGGGCAGCAATGTATTGGACAGAAATTTCTATTGAAGGTAACATGTTCGATAGATTGCGATTCAAAGCCTGTCCAGGATCTGAGAATTTTCCACTTTCACTGTTTCCTGGTGCTTTGGCTAAGTTAGTCAAGTGGTGATAATAGATCAGAGCTGGTAATGAGTCACATGGACTCCTTAAAGTAAGGTAGAGGACATAGATTTGGGAGTTTTGGATTCTGTTTCCAGCTCAGACATGGATTCATTACACTGGCTTTACACAAAATATGAAGCTTCTTTTTTTTGAAAATTCACAGCTCTGGAGCTGTGAATTAAAGGCAAGGCACATGTCATAGGTATTTAGGGCAGTTTTGAGCTTGGGAGCTGTAAGGACTATATGGTTTTCTGGAGGCTGGGGGAGACAGAATGGTAATCTAACTGCTCTGCCAAGTTCTAACCAGAAACAATGGCTTAAATGTTGAGCTGTGATGAGCTGCTGACTGCTTTCTGTGGCAGACTTGCTTAGGAAAAATATAGTATGAGCTTCAAGTTGTATCTCTGTCATTGTCCTTATCAACAGCTTATCCATATAACATAAAAGTTGCATGTTTCATGGAGATAATGTTTACACAGTTGATAGCACTCTTGCTGGTGAAAAGCACACTTTATGTGTGCAACTGCTAGATGAATATCTGACATGTCTTCTGATAGCAATTCTTTTTACAGTTTACTTCCTGAGGGTTGGGAGATGTTTCTGTGGTCACTTGATAGAGTTCCATGTTTTTGATGCACTATTATTTCAGACATGTTTTTCTTTAACCTATTTTTCAGATATGCCAATAGTAGCCTCATAAAATACATGGAGAAACACAAAGTCAAGCCTGACAGCAAAGTTTTTCTTTTGGTAGGTGCAACTTGAAAATTGCTGTGATGACAGGAATGAAATTGCATTCCTGAGGGTAATATCTGTGTCTGTTTTCCCATCTCATTCTAATGAACACCAATGTTAAAGAAAGCTATTTATCACTATCTGGCCATTTTTGAAATGTGTTTTCTTCATACACAAATTGCTTAAACTGCTGGAATTGAAGATCTGAGAGTCTTCTCTAGTTAAGATCTGCAAGACACTTGTATACCCAGCCTTACCTTTAGGTCTGCTGCGCAAATAAGAGAGTGAGTATAACATGTGTCTTGATTCTGTGTGGCTTCAGGGACCTAAAGAGTCCCCAAAATCTAAAGAGTTTTGTGAAGAAAGGGAAGAGGAAATGAGAAATTTATTTCCTGTAGTAATTTGGTTTTCTTTTTCTTCCTTCTAACAGTAGTCCACCACTGTTCTGGGGATGATTCCAAACAAAATCCCTAAACATATATTTGCTGGTTGCCTAGTTGAGTCATGCATTGTAGGCCAACACAGGGTTGCTCTGTCTAATACAGCACAATTTCTGGATGTCTCTGTGATGACTTAGTGCTGTCTAAATTTAGGAATGAAGTTCAAAGTGACTTTGCTAATGCTGTGTACAGGGAGCTCTGTAATAAGGCTCTTGGTGCAGCTTGACTTTCAGTGGTCTGTTTTCAGTTACAAATTCAGCATAGCAGTCATCTCTCTACATCCTGGCAAAGATTTGCTCTTTGACTCATTAGTTGCTGCTGGATGATGACACCAATAGCTGTGGAAACAGAATAGGTTGGTCCCAAGTGGGTGGAGGGGAAGAATTTCCATAAGAAGAGTGAGACTTGAAGAAAAATGAATTAAAATTTCTTAAACTCAACTTCCTGGGCACACACTGGAATCACCTGGAAGGAAAGTCTAACTGAAAAAATAACAATTGTAGGAGACATCATTAGTTAGCACATGAGTTTCCATGTTTTCCTACCAAAAGTGGAATCCACCAGAAAACCTGCTTGCTCTTACTAATTCTCCAAGGCTGAACACTGAGTTGAGAATCATCTTGGGTGGGTTGGTTGCTTTTCCCAGGGGAAATATTAAGCAGATCTCTGAAGAACAACAAAACCAACCATACTTTGCCCTTCTTTCTGAACATCATGACAAAGACTTAGTTCTCTAAGTATGGTAGTTTGTTAGATTTTTCTCACAGCTCAAGGAGTGAATAAAGGTGGCTTAATGATCAGCTACAGAGGCAGAAGCTGTTCTCAAATAGATTAGTCTCCCAAAGCTCTGAATAAGAATGCCCACTAGTATGGGATACCTTCCTGATATCTCATTGCTGGACATCGGAGGTACATATATTGTGAAGCAGACTCCTTAAAACTTCTTGTTCATATCCAAGGTAGTTATTTTTATGAGATGATCTCCATCTTGCAGGGTGACCTCTGAAGATGTTTGCTTTGTAGCAGTCATTGATTGTGACTGTGCTAATGAGTACAGGAAGTGTGGTTCATGGGGAACAGATGGCATCAAGTAGATCAGTGCAGGATAGCAAGTGACTCTTGACAAAGAGAATGATATTATGCCATTCTGCTGATTGACATTGAATGATAATGTTTACATGAAGGGCAGAATGTTTTCCATTCAAGAAGATGCATCTGTTCTTGCTGTCCTGGAAAAGTTACAAGCATAGTATTCATAGCTGTCATGTCAGGCCAGTGGAGCCTAAGAGCTTGAGACCTACTGGGAAGTATGAGATTTTGATGAAATCTAGTCTCATTGGTTTTGTTTCCTGTGTTGTCTTAGCAGCTGCTGCCCTAAAAACAAATTGTCTCCAGACTTTTTTTTTATTCGTTTTCCCAGAAGCTATAGATAATCAGATTTTCTCAAAGTTGGTTCACAGTAGCATCAGCAATAGGCAGATTATCTTGCTGGGAGTGATATTGTGTGTGGTATTACTTGGAATGGGCTAGCTGATTGTATCCTCTGGAGTGAAGCAGGAATACTAAGGGAAGGACTCCAGGGGGCAGAGGTTGATGCCCTGTGCTCTTCTGTCAACGATGACATCTGGTACCAGGAGTGGCCTTGTACAGATTATGCATTTTTGTCTCTACAACTCACTGTGGAGGAACTGGGAAATTTGTATAACCTGTAATGGGGCCAGAAGCTGCTCTAGCTGACAAAAACTTTTCATGTAGGGGAAGGTGATTTGAAGTAAAGATACTGAGTACCAAACTCTTGTCTGTATTGTATTGTGTGAGGTCACTATGTAGAGAGCCAACGTGTCATTAGATGCACAGAAAATGTAGGGTTAAGATTTATCTGACCACACAAAAATACAGTAAATAAGTGCCCATTCAAACCCTCCAGGTGTATACAATGCAGGAATGGCTTGAGCTGTATCTCTAGGCAAGCAGCAGAAACCCATTTAGGAGCTAGTTGCAAATGAACTGGTGGGTGGAGAGACAGCCCAAATGGCTGTGTTTTGCTGTGAATCTTTTGAGGTTTGTGGCCCATGAAGTATGTGAATAAGTGTTGGGAAGGAAATGGCAAAAGTACAGAGAGTTTTGAGACCTTATCTATCAAGTAGGGTTAACTGCAACTATTGAAAAATTCCTTGTGTTTCCTTTCTTGAGGAGGATGAGTGCTTTTACTGAGGCTGTTTACTGTTGCATATATATATATAGAATATAGAATTGTATGTCAGGTTTTTAATTTATTGGAATAAAAAGCCCCAAATACCCATGCCAAAATCACATTCTTTTGTTGAATATCCAGGCAGTTTTTGTTGGAGACCTGAAAGAGAGTTTGAGCTGAGATGTCCTTTACAGAAGGAAATTTATTTTCACTACTGGCTTGAATTGAAAGAGTATTGTGTGAGAGCAGGATGCTGAATAATGTGAGCACCCAAATTTCCTGCTGTAAGTTTATCAGAATGTGATAAATAAGTAACTATTTTAAATTATGTGATATGTCTATAATTCCTATTTATACTACTAATATATTGTAATCTTCTTTCATAGCTTGCTGCAGTCAAACGAATTCTAGCTAATAAATTTGTGCTTGTTTTCCTCCTAGCAAGGAAGAAAGGTTACTAGGAAGGGTCTGTTCCTTCTCATTTTTGTACCGATTAGAGTGGGTTTGGGAGCTGCATGAGTAGCAGAGTGCTCTGATTCTGGAATATTGCCAGTGCAAGAAATGAAGATTTATTGTTTCCCTCCCTAAACCTATCAGTCGTGTTCAGTCCATTCTAACACTTTTTTCCTTTTGTGTCAGCAGTGTAGAACAGTATAAAAGCTATACATGTACCACAACAAAAAGCTATTATTTAGAAATAATGTTTTATCAACCTGTAATAGCTGAATTTAGCATTGCTTTAGTGCAGTGGCTCAGCCTGAGCAATTAATACTGCTACACTTAACTGTTTATTATGTGAGAAGTACTTCACAACCACAGTACTTTGATGGATGTGCATTGCAGTTCTTGGGAACTTCACTGAACAAGCAATGCTAACTTAGGCTTGTCTGGACAAGCCAGAAATAGTTTAGTAATCCACAATCCAAGACATACAAGTCATAGTTTGAAAAATGATAGTTTGATAAGCTTTTTGCTATTTTTATTGTTATGCTTTGCAGCTTCAGAAGCTTCTTACTATGGACCCTACAAAGAGAATTACCTCAGAGCAGGCTTTGCAGGACCCCTACTTTCAAGAGGATCCTCTGCCTACATCAGAGTATGTATTCCTTTTTCTGGGAACATCTAGGGTAACTTCTTTCTGCTATATGCTAATCTCTGGAATGACATGACAGCTGAAAAATTCACATATACCTACCTATGTACACAAGAAGTAACAGCTAAGCCATGCTCAGTAAAAACTACAAGTGTAGTACAGAAGTGTCTGTATGTACGTCAGAACTGAGTGGTCATGAAAAATAACCCAGTACCACAGTAGTGTTGTAATTCTGAACACACTACCAAAGCCAGAGTTACAACATTACTGCAGCATTCAGTGAATCAATCTCTGCCTCACACAGCCTCACAGAGCACTGGTCTCCATTGCCTGGTTGACTGTGCCTCTCCCTAGGAGTGGGACAGTTCTCTCACCTACAGCCCATTCCCATGCCCTCTTTTCACAGGGTAACAGTATGAGAAAAGTGAAGAGATAAATGACTGCCTAAAATCCCACAAATCCCTTGTTCAGAAGGCTTGAGAGGAGATTTTGTTGTCATGAAAAGTTCAGATGACATACTCAGTTCCAGCTGACAGACTTTGTCAGTTTCTCTTCCCAGTTTTCAGAAGCATGGTGGTGCATGGTGTTATGATCTGTATGAACTTGATGCAGGTAGACTTCTACCTTTGCTTTCACTGTTTCCTCAACTAGTAATTTTCTGCTTAGTGTTTATCTGATGCTATCCTGTGGAGAGCTGTAGCTCCCCGTGGATTACAGGATAACATTATGGTAAGGTCTCTGCCATAAACATTAAGGAATGTTCCAAATTCCATTGGTCAGATGAATTTTAAAGTGATCTTTTTTTCCTAAACAAGACTGAGAAGCTTAGGGAAAGTAACTGCAGTTGTGATTGGCAAATATATTGAAGCCTGTTGTAAGCCAAGGCAGGCTCATAAGACACTAATACTCTTTGGATCAGTCCCTTCATTCAGTGAGCCATGCATGTTCCAACTGGGTGTTGTGGAACCTCTGTGTTCAAACCTGTGTTTGTTCATTTTACCATCTGGATCAACAAGTGGTCGTTCTGGCATTTGGACATGTTCAACCATGCCATGATTTCTAAATGACAGCCTTGTGCCAACAGCAAAGAGATCTGACATTACAATCAACACCTATTTTGGGTGCTCACAGTGCCACTCACTTGTGGAAACAAGATTTGTCAAATACAAGAAATGAAGTTGTGTTGTACGCACTTGTTCTTAACACAGTATTAAGTAAATGTATGCCATGTGTACATATTTGTGGAGTGTTTACTGTTTACTGTGTTTCAGTGTGTTTGCTGGCTGCCAGATTCCATATCCAAAAAGAGAATTCCTCAATGAAGATGAGCCTGAAGAGAAAGGGGATAAGGTATAGTAAACTTCTTGTTTGGTTGGGGCTTTTTTACTTTCAAGTATGCAATAAGAAAGCATCATGGTTCCAAATGAAAACTAATGAAACATGAAGAGTTAACCAAAAATGAAACATGAAGAATTAACAAAAATGTGTTTCCCAGGAAAAGCTCTATTAAAACTGCTTCTCAGACAGTTGAAGAGTATCAGATGCCTCGGGGTGTCTCAGGTAGTATCACCAGCACGGTTTGCCCTGACCTGTGGGGAATGAGCTGGATGGGCTGTTGGTCAGCTGCAGCCTGCTCTCAGCTGCTGTGTTCCAAGAAGACCTTGCTGCCTCCTGCAGCATCACATGAAGAAAATACGTTGTGAGCACATGAAAAGAATGGCATTTTCATTGTATGACTGGCATCCATCCAGCCATTTGAATGTAGATGGCTGTCGGGGTCTCAAATAAATAGTGGCAGCCTGCTTCTGGCACTACATCAGAACATTTCATCCATCTGCATGCAGTTTCCTGATCGTGTTCTAAGGGCCCTCACACAAAGAAGTAATAAGGATTCTGAACTGTTCTGGTAGCAACAATCTGCTCTGAATATTCTCTTTTCCATAACCCCATAGACATGAGCGAGAACTTGTTTGTGTGCATAATAAATTCTGGGGTGTTTGCAACATTATCTGCTCTGCTTGGTGCGTGTAGCTCAGCTGTGCTGTGTGACCACAGCCATTGTCCCATAGTGCTGGGAAGGCCGGACAATGGTGCCACAGTGTAGGAAACAGCGTGTTATTTTCAGGGAACAGGGTACAGTGAGGCACCAACAGTGATGTATAGCTAACCAAATGTGAAGAGAACAGTCTTGAACTGTAGTTATCTGAGAACTATGTGAGAAGGGCTGTTGTCTTTCAGAGAAACCATTTAAGGACATGAATATTCTGTTTTCAATTTTCTGCGTAGCGTGACTAGCTGAGTTTAAACCTGTATTTTGTTTTCAAAACCGATATTGCAGATTCTTCTTTACTGGGAACAAGTGTTAGTATCCATGATTTTTGTGTCCAGATGGTTTTTTCCAGAGGAGGAAACAGATCCCTGAACAAAAATGAAATTAAATTCATGATACTAATTTTATTGTAATTTAGTTACTAGTTTTGCTTCAACTCTCACAGCCTCAAAAAACAAAAGAAAGCTTATTAATTAAAATTACTCTGGCTTTTTTATATTTAAGTCAGTGTACTTGAAAGGAAATATCTGTCTTTTCCCTGGGAATGTTGCAGGGGTGATGACAATGGCATGTTTATATTTAAAACAGCCAATATATAAATGATCTTTGAGATTGTTGAGGACAGTCAGGTATTTATATGCACTCCAAATCAAACTTTTTCTTAAACCATTTAGGTAATACAAGTCCCACATTACTCATTGAATGTAGAAATGTAGATTACTCAGTGTAGAAAATGTGGAGGTAAAGGCTATTCTGAAAGTTGAATCTGTTCCATGTTTTGTTGCTTTATGGTGTTATTGTAAATGAAAGGTTTTGGTTTTTTAGACTGGTTTGTTACTGGTTTGTTTTTAAAACTGAAAATATCTGTACAACCATTTGGAAATCTGGAGAAGTTGTCTCTGTTTATTTGGAACTTACATCTGAATTAAATAACATTTAGCATAAGCATCCGTTCTTCAAAATGGTTAATTGTTAGTTAGCAAGACTAAAATGAGGGTTTGTAAAACAAAGTGAATTTTTTTTTTATCATTTAAATTCTGTTAGGCAAGTTTCTGCTAGGTTTGTTTCTAGGTAGGACTGAAATTTCATTTTGGTAATTTATGCCTGAGAGGTGACATATGGCAATGAGTTGCTAAGTGTAGACCTTTAATGAGTTTAGTCATTTAGGAACTGCCATGAACCAGAATGACCTGAGGATGAGGTTGTTGCTTGTCAAAAAAACCATTTTTTGTGCAGTTAGGTGGTGCAGCCAGGCCTCAGCTGGAGACTGACAGGGCAGGTCAGTCTCTAGCCAGGCAGTAGCAGTAGTAGTTCCACACAAGAGCAAACTCCAGCTAGTCAACTAAATTTTGTGCTAAAATCTGAAGCACAAAACCTGGGACCTACAACAAGCTCTTGCCTTTAATTGTGAGAGTCCCTTCAATATCTGTTTACACATTAAAAAATTGAAGTTTTTTAGCTCATACAATTATCAAAAACAGGGCACCCCTGACTCAGGGAATTATTGGCATCTGACTCCATTGATTCAGAAGGCTGAACAACTGCTTTATTAAACTATATTATATTACATTATACTATACTATAACTATACTACACAGAATACTAAAGAATACTAAAGAAAACTTGTGACTGTCTTGGGACAGCCAGGATGCAGCTTTGAGCCAATTGGCCAAGGAAACAAAACAATCCTCAGCAGAATCCAATTGACAAATCACTTCAGGTAAACAATCTTCCCAAAACATTCCACATGTGCAAAACAACAGGAGCAGCAAGTAGAGATAAGAATTGTTTCTCTTCTTCTCTCTGTGCTTCTCCAGGAAAAAGCCCTGAGAGGGAAAATTGTCTCTCTCTGTTCAGAGAATGTGAATGCCACACCCAATAGTAATTAACTTACTTGCATCCAAACACTCCTATGAATACACAAATTTCAGAATTGTAACACAAATATACCTTAGTTATTGGTGTTTTGTTTGCGTAAGTGAAGCTAAAACCATTATTAAAAATAAATTGCTTCTTGAATTGCTTTTTTTTTACAAGCTAGTTTCATTAACTTTTTAGATTACTGAGGTCTAAATCTCCCAGGAAGTAGAATAGGAGTGAGGTGGGATTTGAAGACTACATTCAGGAGGATACATTATAGGTTCTGCTAAATGTGAAATGGAATTTCAGGCCATCTCTTAAGTCCTTGAAGATGCAAGTCTTCTTTATAGTCTTAAATGAACATGTCACTGCAAATTTTGTTGGAATGTATCTTGGGAGACTATTGTGATGAATGGCATAGATGCAGATCTTTTATGTCATTTATCTGAGGTAACTAAAAGCCTCAAGGTGAAGGGGACATTAAGAATTTTCTGCTAGTGGCAACTGGCTGTCATAATTTCTGAGAAACTAATAAAGTAAGGTTTTAATTAAAAGGCTGCCATACTAAAACTTTGGTCATTATATAAGCAGATATTCTACAGAAAAAAAAAAACCCAAACCTATCCTGGAATGTTCCCTACAGTATGTTTGGGGAAAGATAGCAAGGTTTTTTAATTCAATCCATGTCAGTTGAAGGTTTTTGTCATTATGAGCAAGTGACATCTTTCCCAGAACGGCAACCATGGAGGACAGAGTTGCACTCAGTTCATTTTCTGACCTTCCCTCCACTTCCTCAAATACTCCTTTTAGTCTGTAGCTTTCTGAAGCCAGAAGAGCTCTCAATATCTTTTGTTCTTGTGTTTTTTCCTCTCAACCTTTTTTTCCCTTCTGTGACACTTTTCTCTGTTTATTTTCCTTCTAGGAACCAGTGTCATCTTAATTATCTGGCTTCACTTCCTTTGCTAGTCTCCTCCTTCCCTTGCCAGATTCTTCTTTCAGTGGTTTCCTCCTCTTTTGTCTTCAAAATTTCTTGTTTATTTTCACTTTTCTGCTATTTCAGTAAGATTTTCTGACCCTATATGTTGTGCACTGTGCTGGGCTCTCTTCCCAGTACAGCACTCTTTACAAGGTGCTTAAAAGCATGGGAAACCAAAATGGTAATGAAACCTATTTCTGGTTTTGCCACAGAATTTCCTTGCAACCAGGAAGATATGATAAAATTCCTTCGGTCTCAATGTGCTTACCTTTCTGGCAGTAATGCTGTCAGCCTTCTTCAGGTGAAAAGTGAAAGTTTGAAATGTGGTTTTGATTCTGTGTGAACAAGGCCATTGAACCACTTAGAACAACTTATTCTGGGTTCCCCATGTCTGCCACTGAGCACTAGTGAAATTCTGGGTGCTTTGATTTATTTCATTAGGTGATTACTGCTTTATAAAAGGTTCCTTTTATCCTCTTTGAGCACTTGATGTCTTGGTTTGAAAAAGACAGATGTCCACTAATGGAGGCAGGGGCCTTCCTTGAAATGGAAAATGTAAACTCCCTCCCTCTGAATTATTATAATTGAAATTTTTGAAATTAAGAGGCTCTCAGGCAAAGATATGGGAATAGGAATAACAGTTCTTTACTAGAAAAAATGAAAGTACAAATGCAATAGTACAAACAAAAAAACCCCAACACTGACAGAGTTAGAATATGACCTGACACCCTGTTGGTCAGGGTGTTGGTAGCAGTCTTACTAAATGGTGGCTGCAGCTCTCTTGCAGTGACAGGTGTGGCTCTGCTGAAACAGTGATCCTGTAGAAGGGTGTAGTTTTCCTCTGAACATTCAGTGGTAGTGTAGATGGGCCTGATCTTCCTCTGGGAATCTAGTGGAGAAGAAAGTTGCTCCTCTTGGAATCCAGTGGAAAAGGCTGCCTGTGGTGTTCCAAACCACAGATTCTATCCGGGTAGGAATGCTTGGCTCCTCCTCCTGTGTGGAGCATCACACAATGGGATGATGTAATTTCATCAGTGAGGCTCAATGGCCCATTGACAGCAGATGTCTCCCCAGAGGGAAGATTGGTTGAGAAAGAGATAAAGAAAAACTGCACAATTAACAGAAGATAACAGAATATACAACCCCACCCACATCTTGCAACCCAGGACACCTGGGTACCTGTAGGAGGCACTCAACTGTCTTTCCAGTTTAAGTCCAGCTTGTTTCATTAAAAAAGCAAAATGATCACAAGTGGGACACCACACAGGTGTGCAGGTCTGTACTGGGGGTGAACTTCTCCCAGCACTCAGCCTTGCTGTGTTTTCCCATCACATGAGGGTCTGCCTCCCCCTCGGTGGCAGGGGGTTGGCAGCTCCATGAAGCTCACCAACCCAGCTCACAGCAAGTGACCGTGTTGTGTGGCTTCTTCCCTCAGAATCAGCAGCAGCAGAATCAGCATCAGCAGCAAGCAGCACCTCAGCAGCAGGCGCAGGCGGCGCCGCAGCAGCCGCAGCCGCAGCAGCAGAGCAGCAGCCAGACCAACGGGACGGCGGCGGGCGCCGGCGCGGCCGCGGGGGGCGCGGGCGCGGGGCTCCAGCACAGCCAGGACTCCGGCCTCAGCCAGGTGCCTCCCAACAAGAAACCACGCATAGGGCCTTCAGGCGCTAACTCAGGCGGGCCTGTCATGCCTTCAGATTATCAGGTACCTCTGGAAATGTTGCTGCTTCTCATGCTATAGGGCTGAGGGCCAAAATGTCATTTTTCCCCCTTCCCTGCTGCAAGAACAGATCGCGTTTTAATGAATTTTTTATGTAACCTGAGGCATGCTGAGGTTTTGTTCTGTGATTAGTAATTTTCAATAGAATACCAGTTTGAGTTGTACTGCACCCTGTAAAGTGTTGAGGACTACTCCATTCCAGGAATCACCTAAACATTTGCTTAACTTTATATTTTAGAGTAATCTTGCTGAAGCCGGTGGATGTAAATGCTGCATTGCATCAAGTTCAGTATACTTGAGTCTTGGCAATATTAAATCCCATGTGAGGCACAGATGTGAGGCAATCCTGAGAAGAAGGAACAAAGTTTGAACCAGGCTCTCCCATTTCATTCCTCCTATTGTCACATGTATGAAGTGGTTCTGTAGTTTATTCTGGTATCTTTCTAAGACTACTTCTAATGTTAAAGAAAAAAAAATAGAAAAAAAATGCATGTAAGCACAGGAATGACAATTTGGTTCAGTTCATCCATTTGATTCATGCCAGACTAGGGCACAAAGACATGCACTGTTTATAATGTGACCAAAGTAGAACAGATTTCATGTTTTCTGGTACAGTAGCATTAATTAGGAAAAGCACTGTCACTGAATATTTTTGAATTAGCATACTTGTCTTTGATTACTAGAATTATATTTTCCACTGAAAAAGTTACTTACATTAAATATAGAAAGCATTGAACTTTCCAGGATCTTCAGTATTTCAAGGTTTATACTTGCTGGAGCAGTAATTAGTGTAAAGAAAAAAAAAAAAAGTTATATATTAAGGGTAAATTTTAAATTATGCTGGGGATTCTGTTGGCTCCTAGCCTTCAAGAGGGTCCTGCTTTGGAGAATGGTCTTTTCAGGCTGCTTTAAAGTTAAAATAAGTAGGGTTTAAGACACCAGCTCTACAGTTGTCTTGACTTAGCCCTCCAGATCTTCTCCACAGACAATTGATTACTCAGTGCCAGACATATTTCTCCCATTTTTGTTTAACTCCTTTAGTTACAAATTGTCATGAAGGCATTGAGGGCAATTTAAGGGGAAAGACAACTAGGTTTCTTTCTTGAAAAGTTCCAGACACGCTTGAGGCCTGGACAGGTCAGTACATCTGTCTGACTGCACAGTATTTATGGCTGGTCTGGTTTGGTCTATACTTTGAGGACTGGTGTGCTGCATTTGATGATATCCATCATAGAATTCTTATCCAGTTCTCTGAATTGTTGGCAAACTTCCCTCTTACAAGTTGCTAGTAGTCTAAATATTCTTTTTTTCAGATTTTTTTTTTGCCCTCTGTGATGCTTTCCTTCTAAACTTTAACAGCACAGGCTTCAAAATCATCATCTGTATGTTTCTTTTATGTCATGCACTAAATTGTATGGGCTGATTATCCATTTTTACACTTGTGTTTGGCTATCTGCCTTTAACTTCTAGCTGACTATCTTCTGTTCCAGAAAGGAATGTCTGCAATTTGTCCAAGTCTGACTTTATTAAAAACAAGTTCTCCTATGTGAAACAAAAATAAGCATGGGCAAGTTAAAGCATTCTTCTAGTCTTAAGGCAGTAATTTTACTCCATTTTATCTTATTTGGAAGATTCTCTTTGCTTTGAGTTTCATTTAGCTTGTGGTCTGAAGTCTCTGTTGAAGTTTTTTTTGTCATTCACCAACCTCAGTATCTGTTGCTTCCACAAATGACAGTGCAAAGCTCTTTGTTGAATTTTACTGAGCCTTCCTTATGTGACCTTGGGTATTTTGCTTGCCATGGTGAGCTGGTGCTTTTCATCCATAAAGAGCACCTGTAAAATCATAGAATTTATCACAATTCTTTTTTTTCCATTAGAATTTGAAAAACTTCCAAGAATTTTGAGAAAAATTGCATGTTTCAGACATTGTGTAACACAACCAGCCTTATCATGGGATTGTGGTGGGGTTTGCCTTGCTGGACAGTCTCCTGTCCATTGAGCAGTACTTCTCATGCCAAGTGATTTTGCATCTTACATTATTGGGCAGCTCACAATTAATTCTGGATGGGAAATGGTTATGATAGTGAAAGGGCAAATTCAGCAGGCTGTAGACTGCAAGATCCACAAATTTTTCTTGCTGAGGTTGGAGTCTGTTAAGCTGACAGTCCCAAACTGTGGAGGGGAAAAAAAAATACTCAGAAAATTGAATGCTAGGTTATGTACATACCCATACCCATTTTTAAGCAGTTGTCCTTGTTTGCAGTAGTTAGGTAACAGGTTAAAAGACTCACTTAATATTATATTATTTAATCTTAATGGACAATTCTTAATTTAGATAAATTGAGTAGTAGTCATGGTTGCCTTTTTCTCAGAAAAGAATAAAATGTTTATAACACTTAGTATTGCCTATCTTGAGATGGATGTTTGTAGCCTTAGCATTAACAGCATTTGAATTAATAGCATTTACAATAATGATAGATATAGGTTTAAGAAACAGATTAATTTTGAAAGGGAGTCTGCTCTCTTTGTCTCTTGTGTATTTTTTCTTTAGAAAATGGGTGTGTACATGCTGTACTTTTAGGTGTCTCCAAGGGTTCTTGTAGATTTTGTGTCCTGTGTTAAAGCTGATTGCAGATCAGAATGATGAGTAGGCTTTTATGGGACCCTAAAAAATAGCACTATTTAGTCAGTTTCCCCAACAATCATATTTTAATGAGCACCAGAGAGGTTAAAAATTTCCTGAGCTGCACGGTCCTAGCAGACTGGACCTGTGATGATCATTCCTTTGATCCCTCTCTTTTTTTCCTGCAGCACTCCAGCTCGCGCCTGAGTTACCAAAGCAACATTCAGGGATCTTCTCAGTCCCAGAGTACAATGGGCTATTCCACATCGTCTCAGCAGAGCTCTCAGTATCACCAATCTCATCAGTCTCACAGGTACTGAGGGCCTGCCAGGCTGCACTCAGAAAGGAATGGACTAGAAGCCAGAAGACTCCAGCAATATGAAGTTCATAATGATGAGAAGACCAAAAATACAAACTATGATGCAGAATTAAAATTCATGATGATAAAAGGAAAACTTCACTCACTGAAGACTTCCCCCATCCCTTCCCCATCCCTTTATTGCCATAAAGGAGATTCTTGTGAAGTTTTCCTTCCTTCCTGCCCTTGCATGTGCTCCATTGTGGTTACTCTAATGAACCCTTCTGATCTGAACCCAGCACTTAACTTCTTTAACCTTTGGAATTTTGAAGGATTCCTGGTGCACCTTCCTTATGCTGTAGTGATTGCCATAAATCTGTCTTTTCAATCTCTTTGATGGGATTTTAAAGTTTTAAAATCTTGAACTCCCAGGCTTTCAAGCTTGTATATAGTTAGTTTTATACTAGGCGAACCAGTTTAGCTATACAGGTATATTGCACCTTTTTAAAGCACTATGTTATTTTCACAGGATATTACTGTTTTGCTCATGGATGTCAAGAACAGCAAAATTTTACTGTTCCAGAGTATTTTACTATTCTGTTTTTATTAGTCTAGTTTTCAGGCAAAGTATTAAAAATAAAAAATTTTAAAATTAATAAAATGTAAAAAGAAAAATGAAAAAAGAAAAAAAAACCCCACCCAAGTCTCTGCAGCGACAGATATGCTTCATGCTACTGGACTGAACGCCAAACAGAAGATTGCTGATATTTCTTAACTCATTCACATTGAATTCTTGAAATCGCAGTGATCATGCTCTGACTAGTTTTAAATTAAGCATTACTTTAAATGAAACCAGGACAGTCACATGAAAAGGAGATGCTTTCAGGATCTGTTGGAACAGAAGAATGGAATGTCTTCCCAGGCTGGACACCAAAATAGTCAGGAAAATGTATTTACTGCCCTCAAGCCTCAGTAGGAATGTGGATGATGGGCTTTTTCTGTATTTCTGCAAAGTATCTTATTAATGTGTGTGAGAGTTCTATAAATTTAGCTTTCTTTCACATTCCTGAGTCAGTTCTCAAAATTTAAAGGTGACAGAAGTACTAAGACTTGCAAAAACAAATGCATTTAATCATTTTATGTTGGAATTTATAATTAAGAGAAATTATTGTGCAGTTTGAAAAGCATGTTGAAAATTGTTCCTTTTTCTTGTTTATAATGCATATTCTGTGTCCCTCTCATTGCTGTGATTAACCAGATTAGTTACACCAGATGCGCTTGATTGCACTGAAATGTTTCTTTTTCCCTAGAGCAAACATGTTTTGATTGTGCCTAAGGGACTGTAAGTGGATGGGTAGCTGGCAGAAAATCCCTAGTAATTAAGCAAGAGTTCAGAAGCATAATCAGAGGATTATTGTCCAACTTCTGGAACCACAGTTATTCAGAGAGACACAACATGTAATTTGGGACAGCTTCATTTTTGCTTCAGCCTTCAGAAATAAGGCTGGCTCTTGTGGCAGAAAACCTGGAGCAATGCATTTAGAGAGCTACTGGCAGTGTAACATCAGAGAGCTTCTGCAGCTGGTGTCCAGAGAAGAGGTGACAGGAGTTCAGGTGTAAATGGTCAGTGGTAACAGGTTTTTACACTGCAAAGTGTTCTCTTCCCTGTCCTTTGCCCACACACAAAAAAGGTGTACCTGTGCACATTCACGCTGAAGTTGTGATCAGATGTAGCAAGATGAGTAAATCTGTTTGCTCTGAGGAGAATGCTTTTATCACATATATGTTCTACTGGTTTGATCTCCCAGTCGTCTTTAGTGCCCCCTTCCTCTTCAAACTCGTGCTTTTTTCCTGCTTTGTGTGAGCAGTTGGCTTGCTTTGGCTATACCTACCATCATGTGATTTTGACAACACCCAGCTGCTCCAGAAAAGCAGCTAAAACCTGCTTTTGTCATCGAATGGATAAGAAGGTGGTGAAAAACTAAATGAAGCAATTGAAGGGAAAAATTCTTTCTGGGGAAAAATAATCTCCCAAAGGATACTTTCAGTGTATAACCCTTGAAATGCTACATTTTTTACCTACTGTAGTGCTCTGAAAGGACAGGTTTTAATTGTTCCTTTATTTCAGTGACTGTGGGGTGACATTCTTTCTGTCTCCCCCCTTACTGATGTTAAGATGAGGTACTTTTGATCAAATGGGTATTTGGCCAATGCTTCTTTTATGCTTCTGAGATTTGAATGTCACATTTCTGGAAATTAACTTATGGCAGAGTGATTTTTGTCCCCTCGTGTTCTTTTCATCCTTCTGTTCTCTCAAAATTATTTTGTCTTTTCTACTACAATTATCTAACATTTCTTTTCCCTGCTGTGACCTGCAGCTAATCATGAAAATTCATACAAGATCAGGAGGTGGCAGGGGACCATTGGTTAATTAAGGTGGGCTCTTGTGCCAATAAGGCAAAATCATGGTGTAGATTAATCTGTATGTAGAGTGTGAAACTTCACAGCAATGTAAGGTGCTTTAATTGAGTGAACTTCCAGCTTCTAGAGTGACTGCCACAACCTCTCTCAGCTGCACTTGCATTTCTTGTCCTGGTTGGGTTGATAGATGACCACATGCCACTCCTCTCTCTAGCTTTTATGCGCACAGGTGAAACTGAGCTGTCTTCCTCTGTTCCTCCAAAATTCACAGCCGGGAGGAGAGGGAATAAAAGCAACAGCACTGGCTGCAAAATGTAGGCTCTGCACACTCTTGTAGTTTCTTCACTGAGGTGAAATAATTTGCCTTTTCTTGGGAGCTTGATGCATGCTGCCAGGGTTGGTAGCAGTCATATTGGAAGAAGCCTTGCTGCCTAGGGGTTATCCCATGAGGTAAAATCTCTCCGCTTTCAGAAGTGAATTGTGCAGTTTGTCGTGGGAAACCAGGACCATGTCATTTTTATGGGTTTTTTTTTTGCCTGTGCAGTTTCTTTATTACTCAGCTCTGTCTCTGCCCATAACCTATAGACCCTCAGCAAAGTGTTTCACACCTGTACTGAGAGGCACAGAGCTGTCTTCTCCATCCTGGTGGGAGAACAGGCTGCTGAGCACAGCTTTTCATGTTGTGGTTCAGAGGAAACAAACACGTGGGAAATTAATAGGAGGAGCAGCCTGGTCCACATTGGTGAAGTTTATGTAGCACAAACTGCACAATGAAGGAAAAATATAGGGAAAGCTGCGATTCCTGCACTGTATCTGTGACACTGTATCTGGGGAGGGGGAGGGAAGTGCATTTGTAGCGGGAGGGGTGGCGGGAAGCTAGAAGTGTTCAAATATGTATGATATTTTATATAAACATAATAAGCTTAGTTCCCCTTCATAATCTTCAGGAATGGTACTTTAACACCATTAAGTAAAGAATTGTTTTAGGATTAAATAAATGTATTGTACATAAGGCCATACGTAATCTTCTAAAAATGTCGCCAGACAGGAGCGATGTGTATTACAATATGAAAAAAGTCCTTAATGCACTGTTATCTCCTAAATATTTAGTAGTAAATTAATGCTATTTAATTTTTTTAAAAATTTGTCTTGTGTAGACACTAAAAAGTATTACACAAAATCTGGACAGAACGTGTCCTTTTTAACAGCAATTTAAAGAACTTTTTATATATGTAAGGTAGTAACTTTTCAAATTGTTCCTGTTGTATATTCCCATGTTTACTATTTGTGGAAGTGTGCCTGTCTCTACTCAGTTATTTTTTTTCCTAATAATTTCATGCACGCATCTTTCATTTTTGTAGTTTCCATTAGAAATTACTGTGTATGCGCCTGGTGCTGCCACAAAACTTTCCCGCTCTAGATCTGTGGTGGCCGCATTCAGTAGTGCCCGTGCCAATGGGCTACCAAAACCACGAAGCAAAATACTTGTTTCTCATTCTAGAGTTGAGAGTTTACTGCTTTTAAGTTGTCCTGATGTCACTCTTGAAATGACTGTTAAAACTAAGCTATGAGTTCATTGCATTTATTTTATATTCTTGGTTGTAATGAAATGGAATTGACTTTGCTTCAGTGTGAATTTTTTTAATAAAATAATATACATTTGTAATAATAATAAAAAGTTCAAATCAAGTAAGTGTGCAGAAAAGTTTTTGTAAACGTCAACTTCGGGCTACCAGTAGGGAAAATACAGCCCACAAAATTGCGATTGTAATTATATTCAGGATGTTTATGATATCATGCACCACAGAAAACAAAGCTTGCAAAACCTCAGAGTTGAAATTACAGTTTTTAAAAAGCCCACGAGGATATTCACAGCTATGTCTATCAAAATAGAATGAAGCCTTATGGAAAGCAGGATGGGATAGTGTTCTCTTAGGTTTTGCTCTCTGCCTGTGAGCGTGCGGGTATGCCACACTGATGGTACTCGTTGAGATTCATTATTACTTGCATGACAATCCTGTAGATGCGTCTTCTGAAAAAGAAAGCTGGTTTACTCTGTTCTGGAAATAAAGGCTTTCCTGCTTTCTCTTCTTCTGGATCTTAGAGCATTTCAAGTATTTCAGGTGGCAACATGGAAAGTATGAGCTAGAGCATTATTGGTGGGTTTTCGCAGTGAGATTTTGTGTGCTTTGCTGGTCTGCATGTTGATGGATGGATGGATGGATGGATGGATGAACTCCTACCAAAAATTCTACTTGTCTTTTCGATAACAGTTGTATGGGTAAGAACGGTTGAGATTTACTTGCACTGCCCATTGCGTTAAGAAAGAGGCTTTGTTTTTTGATGTGTCTTTTGCACAAGGGTAGGAATAGGAGTGGCCTTTTGACAAAAAGCTCAGTCTGCATCTCTGACACCTCAAGACAGCCTCACTGCAACTGAATATTCCCAACTCTGTAAACTTCAGGGTTTCTGCTTCTGTTGTCCTTTTGTTGATATGATTGTGCTTAGTAAACAGTTTTGACTTGTGTGTTTCTAAAACTTCCTATGCCAGCTCTGTCTCAATCTCCATTCTTTTACAGCACATCTCTCTCTGGTTTTCCTGCCTGGTCATTTGGTTTACAGTCTAATCCAGCCTGATCATACTGATCTGAATTAATGGTGTCCCTTTTTTGTCCTTGACAGCTAAACAACTTTGATTTCACAGCCACTGAGAAAGTTGCAGAATGGGTTGTTTATTAGTCTTTTGCTTTGACTTGTTGCTTCTTGCCTTGTGTTATTGCCTTGGCTCTGGCATCTCTGTTGCATTAGCTGTAAAGCTTCTCTCTTCACTTGCTCATGACTGCCAAAGCCTGCTGTTGCACCATCCCTCTTACTCAAATCAAGACGTTATGTAAGTTATCTCTGGGTCTTATTGTCCCACCAGGTCAGCCTCTGCACCCTTCATTTTCAGACTTCTAAATAAGCATTTTAAGTCTCTGTTTCCAATTGCCCATTGTTTCTGAAGAGATGTTGCATAAAATCCTGAAAAATTCCCTCCTTGGTGTTTTCTGCATCCCTCATTAAAGCCCCCTGGTGTTGATGTATACAGAAGTTTAGTATTTTACACTACTGGTGTGCAAGGAGTCATATCTATTATGTAAATGAAAACTGTTCCAGTGTTCATTCTGCCTTCCAGTCTGTCTGCATCCATCACCTCCCTGCATGCCCCTTGCAAGCTCCCTGTGACAAGAAAAGTCATTTTGTTCTGATACAGTAGTTTCATGACTGGGGCTTGCAGCACTCTGGAATATGAATAATAATCACTGTAATATCATGGTGTTTTACTGCTGGACAATACACAGTAGTAGTGTTGCCACTTTCCATGTGCTTTTTCAACACAAGAAGCATCCTGTTAGTGCCAAACACCAATTTAATTTGGCTAATCACAGAACCTGAGCAAGCAGTATTCCAATAGCTAGCAAAAGTTAATGATGGTGTTCTTCTAATGTTGTTTTAATAAGTAGGTTCTTATTTTTTTACTTTCCAGGGAGCTTCATATCCTTGATTATGATCACAGAAAAAAGCAGAAGCTTTGGCTTATTTTGGTGGGTTTATAGTAATTTAGAAAATTATTATGGTATAATTACTACAATGATTTTTTTCATTTGCAAGAAATATTTATTAGAACAGCAGTTGTTGAGGTAGATTAGAATCACCAACAAGGTTGTGAAAGATGTGTGTACAGTCATAACTGAGCTGCTGAAATTGCTGGGGGAGT